CAAAGAGGAGATATATGGATGCAGTGAGGGAGGACATGCAGATAGTTGGAGTCAGAGTAGAAGATACAGAGAACAGGAAATGAAATGGAAATCAATGATTCGCTGTGGCAACCCCTGAAAAAAAAAAAAAAGGGACAAAGCCGAAAGAAAAAGAAGAAGATGTTTCCCTCTTTCAGGGGACTATCTGATGCATAAGGTCTTCATCACATGGAGACGGACGGGCGGAGGAGGCGGAGTGAGCGTGTGAGGAGAGGCTGATAATGAATTCAGGAACGTGTTTTCCTTCTGACAGAGGTCAGTGTGGGGGCAACCGCTGCTCTGAAAAACCCACACATGAACAAACGCGGGCACATACAGCATTCATGCATGTATTTGAACTCGCTAACACGGAGACCTGTGCTCTCTGACTCATGTACAATACTACTTTGTTAAAACGTGTGACTCCAGCGAGCCCACGTACTGTAATGAGGCTTTCTAATCAGAGAAACGAGGCAGAAATAATTCGAAAAGTGTGGACTCTTTTTATATAACCGCCACATCTAACGGTGCTTTCTCAGAATAGAAATGTTCTGGTCTTGAAGCGGTACGAAATCATGTTCACATCTACCGCAGAAGCACAGTGAGTGGAGACCGTCTCGTGTAACTGTTCAATCAAATCAGGACATTTAGGTCCTGATTTAGGTTTAATTTTTTTTCTCCTCCATTTCTGAGAGGGATCACTGTATTTGCATGCTTAAATCGGAGGAGTCGAAACTACTGTATTTAAAATAACATGAACCCAGACGGCATCAAGTGTTCTCGTCTTCTCTCTCTCTGAGCTCTTCTTCTTGGACTCGTTACCTCAGCTGACTTGTTATTAAAGACACCAGGTGAGGATCAGAGGACAGGAAGAGGAGGCAAGTAAGAGAGAGTGGACGGAGGAAAAAGGGGGTAAGAGGCCAGAAGGTGAGACTGAAAGACAAGCCCCACAGATCTGGTTCCACTCTCATTTTCCTCCCTTTCTCTCCTTACACCGGGTCTGCCTCACCCTGCTCTCTCCTCCTCCCTCCGTTTGAGGATCTAATATTAAATCTTTTTATGTTTTTTTTTTTTTTTTCTCTCCGTCTGTATCTCTCCACTCTTCCCTCCTCTCCCTTCTCGTCTGTGGAGGAAGCCCTGCAGAGCAGCGATGCAGTTTATTAAAAGAACATTGCGGCGTTGGAGGAAGAAATTAGAGACTAATAATCAAACCCAAAACATGTTTACAGATGATTTAGCACAGAGGGAACATCAATTAATTTACAGGATTCGCCATTTTACGAGGAACGCGTTCCCGTAGTTCAGCAGCGTTTGGAGTTTGACAAATGTCAGCTGTTGGTTTTTTTTCGCCTTCATTATCAAGCCTAACATTTCTGGAAACGTTTGGGCGTTCAACACAACCGTTGGATCGCATCGACGCACGACGCCGCGGATGCTCCTCTTCTGTACAATTACAAAGGATTATGAAAAAAGAGAAAAAAAGAATGGAGAAGGCGCGCAGACTGGGTTCATGGGAAGGTGAAAATAAAACCGTACAGTGAGAAGGGGAATGGCATGGGATGATTAGAGGAGTAGAAATCAGCGAATGGGGGATGGAGGGGGGGAGGGGGGGGCAACAGAAAGATGAAAGGAGGCAGTTAAATAATGCAACAGTCACTTAGTTTCCCTGTCTCTGCAGAGACGCCGTCAAAAGAGGTCAGTTTTTCCCACTGTATTCAGGGGAAAGGCATCATAAATTTTTTTAAAACATTTTTATTTGTCTTACTCCAAATAAATTTGTTAAGTTTGAAACGCATCATAAAAACATTTTTATTTGTCTCACTCCAAATAAATTTGTTAAGTTTGAAAAAGTTGAAAAGCAAGCAGACGGACTTTCAGGTTGAGCAGATTGAAGTGCCGCGTTTCATTAATCAATAATCATTTATTGCGGGGCGGCGATCAGTGGTGAAAACACTCCGACTGACACGTGATCTGATTCTGTCTGTTTATTTTACACAGCGCTCTCTGACACCAGAGTCTACTCCACTGTGTCGTCACCGTGACACAAGATCAGTCAAGATCCAGATCAAGAATTTAAATCAGCGTGATGAGCGTCACCTGCAAGTAAATGCACAAGTGACCAAGAGAGAGATGGTTTATTTTCACATTTCTGGGGTTCAATACTGAAACTATTTGTGTAAATCAATATGTATCTGCGTATATTTAGGTTTTAAAATAAAGTGATAATGAATAGGTGGGAACAACTCTGAGATCAGTAGTAAGTAGTAAAAGTGTGTACTTGGCGCCTCCATGGGGGACGACCCCATGGAGGCGCCAAGTGTTGCAATACATCTGCTAGTAACGCAAGAATTGAATTCAATTAAGTTATAAAATTTAAAAAAAGTAATTAAAATGTAAATTGAGTCAGTGGCGGCAACATGATTGTACACAATATTGGTCAATGACTCAAATAAACTGTACGTTTGGTCGCTCAAAAAGCCATATAATGTCATATATATTATGTTCCGATGTAATAGTTGGTCATTTTTATTTTTATTTTTTTATATTTTGCAAAATATGTAAAGTGTCAAAAGCAAAAATAAAAAAGTTCCTTTCTTGCCAACAGCCAACATCAGCATTGGAATGGCAGCTTATGTCATGATGACACAGAGTAGAACGAAGAAGAGAAAGAACCTAATAAAAATATGTATAACTCCTGGTTGAGTTACAGAAATGTAACAAATAATTACTATATATTTAAAAAATAAAACTTCATTTTCTCCAGAATTTTTTTTTCACACTTTTTTTTCCCCTACCTCCGGCCTGACAGGGTCCTCTATCCCCACGACACAAATGGCTGTGAGATCGCTGAGGATGATTCCTTCTTCCTCCCAGCATGGCTCAGGATTGCTGGGGAAGTCACGATAGCCCACGCAGATGGTTCTCAGGCCTTCACACGCCATGGGCTCAATCACCTTCTTCACCATCTCATCCTTGTCCCGCGGCCGGAACACTCGTGGCTCTCCAACCTCGTTCAGGACATGGCTGCACCTGTGGGAGAATAGCATAATGAGCTAAGCTACATTTGTTACAGCCATCACAGACTACTGTTAACCAACAACAACATTTCCATACATAATACAACACTGAAATATAACCTTCTTAAAAAAACTCCCCAAATATATTGATAATATAAAATAATAATAATTAAGAAAACATTTTATATTATTATTATAAAAATGGGAAAATGACCCAGCGAGAAAGAGTGACAAGGCCACTAAGGTAGTGAGGACTCGATTTATATCAGACATGGGCAAACTATGGCCTGGGGGCCAGATGCGGCCCGTTTGGCTTTTTAACCTGGCCCTCTAAATTTGTCCAAAATATGTAATTAATTTCTATTATCTTTACACTTCTGCTTTTTCCCTGCAATGCCCGCATTTCTCCATTAGATGGCGTAAAAAAGGCATTTTAGCATTTTAGACTTTTAGATGTCATTTATTTTAATTCATACGAACGCTCCATCTAGCTGTTCCTGACCTGGCCCACCGTCAAGGTTTAGAACCCATTGTGGCCCGCGAGTCAAAAAGGTTAGCCACGCCGGATTTAGATGAAAGAAAGAAAGAAAGAGAAAGAGAAAGAGAGAGAGAGAGAGAGAGAGAAATAAAGCAACAGGTAAAATAACCCAGCGAGGGACAGTGAACCCGACAGAGTGGAAAAATTAGCACTCGTAACTCAACGTTTCCGCGTATCACAAGGAAAACCTCGCAAAAGTTGCCAACTAATAACTCGGAAAACTCGTATTTTGCTCGTAAGCTCGTATCTTGAAGTCCCACTGTATAGTACATGGTAGTACAGATTCACCGCGCGACTCACTTTTTCAGCACGATCTCCGAGGCTCCCTTGCTGTACATGCGGAAACTCCCATCAGGCAGTTTGATGACGGTGCTCATGGACTTCCTGACGGAGTTGAAAGTGTAGACCTTGTAAAGCCTCTCTTCAGGCATCTGGTTCCTTATTGTTTGATAATCCCGCCTCAGGTCCCGGACCAGTCCCAGCAGGCTGCACTCGGTCTTGTTGCCCACCTGCTTGGGGAGACCGCCCTCCTTGTCTGGGGGCTGGAGAGGAAACAGGAAAAAGACAATAAACACTTTTTTCCCCCCCTCTTCATGTAGAATTCTACTGATCTAAACGTGTGTTTTTGTGCATTTTTCTTCAGAAATGTATTTTACTGATCACAGTTCTGCTTCTGTTCGTAGAAACCGTACATTCACTTCACAACACATTTCAACCCCTCTGCGAGTATTCCCACAGTGAAATTGGCTTCTTTACTGCGGTACATGTAAAGCAGGGACTAAAATATCTGCGTGTGATGAACCAGCAGGTGAAAGGCTAAGCTGCGCGTGGGCGTGTTTGCAGATGAAACGGAGAGAACGTGATGGATGTTCCTATTTCAGCCGAGCCGCCTCCCTCCATCTGTAATTGTTACACGGTTCGGCGAACATTTTGTCTATAGGTGTCAGGATTGTTGGATTGGACTTTCTCCAAACATGAGAGCAAATAGCAACACAAGCAGTTGAAAAAAATGTGCTTATCTTTTTACTAATTTACTTCATTCAAAAAAAGTCATATCCATTTAAAGATAAAGATAATCTGGCAAAAGATAATCTAATTTTAAATGAATAGGTCATTCAAACTCTGATACCATCAGATTAGAAGTATAAAAGATGTTTTATTTTGAAAATTTAATACTC